CTGTTAACGCTAAACTAGTCCCTTTCGGGGCAGTCCAACAGGGGGCACCAGTTCTTTCGGCGCTCCCGCGTGGTTGGCCCCTGATGGTACTGGACCTCAAGGACTGCTTCTTTTCTATTCCCCTTGCGGAGCAGGACCGCGAAGCCTTTGCATTCACCCTTCCCTCTGTCAATAACCAGGCTCCCGCACGCAGATTTCAATGGAAGGTCTTGCCTCAAGGGATGGCATGTTCTCCCACTATTTGCCAGCTGGTTGTGGGACAGGTATTGGAACCCCTTCGACGTAAACATCCATCTTTGTGTATGCTGCACTACATGGATGATCTTTTGATAGCTGCCCCTGACCGCAGGAAATTGGAAATGATGGGAAAGGAGATCATAAGTGTACTAGAGGGGGCGGGCTTTACTATTTCTCAGGACAAAATCCAAAGAGAACCTGGTGTAGAGTACCTTGGCTATCGGTTAGGAAGTACCTATGTAACTCCAGTGGGTCTATTAGCAGAACCGAAGATCTCCACCCTGTGGGATGTTCAGAAACTGGTGGGATCCCTCCAGTGGATCCGACCAGCGTTAGGGATCCCACCACGACTGATGAGCCCCTTTTACGAACAGTTGAAGGGGTTAGATCCGAATGAGGAGAGAGAGTGGAACCTGGACATGAGATTAGCATGGAACGAAATTGTACAGCTCAGCACTACCGCTTCTTTGGATCGCTGGGACCCTGCCCTACCGCTAGAGGGAGCAGTTTCTCAATGTGAGCAAGGGGCGATAGGGGTCCTAGGGCAGGGGTTGTCGACACACCCAAAACCATGCTTGTGGGTGTTTTCCACTCAACCCACTAGAGCATTCACCGCTTGGCTGGAGGTGCTTGCTCTCCTGATCACTAAGCTCCGCGCCTCGGCTGTGAGAACCTTCGGTAAGGATGTTGAGATCCTTTTGTTACCCGCGTGTTTCCGAGAAGATCTCCCATTCCCAGAGGGGATCTTGCTGGCCCTTAGGGGATTTGCGGGAAAAATAAGGAGCGGCGATTCGCCACCTATTTTTGATATCGCGCGACCGCTGCGCGTTTCACTGAAGATAAGGGTTACTGATTGCCCCGTGGTAGGACCCACGGTTTTCACCGATGCCTCCTCGAGTACCCATAGAGGGGTGATGGTGTGGAGGGAAGGTTTTGAGTGGCAGGTAAAGGAGACTATTGATCCAGAGGCGAGTGTACAACAGTTAGAGGTTTGCGCCGTGGCCATGGCACTTCTGTTATGGCCAACAACGCCCACTAATGTAGTCACGGACTCCGCGTTTGTTGCGAAAATGCTACTCAAGATGGGGCAAGAGGGGGTCCCGTCCACGACGGCCGCCTTTGTCCTGGAGGATGCATTAAGCCAGAGAACAGCCATGGTCGCGGTCCTTCATGTGCGTAGTCATTCTGATGTACCAGGGTTTTTTACAGAGGGAAATACTATGGCGGACACTCAAGCCACTCTCCAGGCATACCCACTGAGGGAAGCCAAAGACCTCCATACGGCCTTCCACATCGGGCCTCGTGCTCTGTCTAGGGCATGCAATATATCTATGCAGCAAGCTCGGGAAGTTATTCAGGCTTGCCCTTATTGCAACTCAGCCCCTGCACTAGAGGCCGGGGTGAACCCTAGGGGTTTGGGGCCCCTGCAAATATGGCAGACAGACTTCACGCTCGAACCGAGAATGGCTGCGCGCTCTTGGCTAGCCGTTACTGTGGATACTGCCTCGTCGGTAGTGGTAGCGACCCAACATGGGCGTGCCACATCAACAGCGGCGCAGCATCATTGGGCCACGGCTATTGCCGCGTTAGGAAAGCCCAAGGCAATCAAGACAGACAATGGGTCATGCTTCACCTCAGGATCCACTCGAGAGTGGCTGGTGAGGTGGGGAATAGCACACACGACGGGAATCCCAGGGAATTCCCAAGGTCAGGCCATGGTGGAGCGGGCTAACCGTCTTCTGAAAGATAAGATCCGCGTACTCGCGGAAGGAGACGGATTTATGAGAAGGATCCCAACGACTAAGCAAGGAGAAATATTGGCGAAAGCTTTGTATGCGTTGAATCATTTCGAGCGGGGTGACAATGTCAAGACTCCGATGCAGAAACACTGGAAACCGACCATTCTTACAGAAGGGCCACCTGTTAAAATACGTATGGAAGCAGGTGAATGGGAAAAGGGATGGAATGTTTTGGTCTGGGGTCGGGGTTATGCAGCAGTTAAGAATGGGGAGACGGATAAAATTATCTGGATTCCCTCCAGAAAGGTCAAACCGGACCTAAGTCGCGAAAGTAATGTGACTGGAAAAGATGAGGCGACCTCTCCCTTTGCAGGCATTTCTGACTGGATACTCCGGGAACACAACCAAGAGAGACCCGAAGAAGAGGCCCTTGAAGGCAGACAAGAAAGACCCGGAGAAGAAGCCCTTGATGCCGACGAGAATTAATGGAATTACAGTGTTTGTCTGTTTATTAATCCTATGTGGGGTCACGGGAACGGGCGCTGATGTACACTCCATATCGTAGCCAGGGAATTTATGGGTTACTTGGGCAAATAAGACGGGCCAAAATGACTTTTGCCTTAGCTTACAATCGGCAACATCACCTTTTCGCACCTGCCTAGTAGGTATCCCTCAATATACGTTAGAAGCCTTTGCGGGGTACACCACAAACCATTCCGCTTGTCGTGACGACACCGATTTAGCAAGCCAAACGGCATGTTTGATAAAATCTCTGAATGTGTCTCTCCCATGGGATCCACAAGAATTAGATATCTTGGGGTCGCAGAAGGTACGAAATGGGTCGCATAATGGCACGCGTACCTGTATTACCTTTGGGTCAGTGTGCTGGAAGGATGGTGACTTTATTACCTGCAACTTGTTTGACGGGGTATTCGACGGCTACGGGGGATTGAAAGGACGACTGCAGGCCTTAATTGCCCGGTGGGCAGGCACAGATCCGCGGCTGAAGCCATACAATGAGACCTCTTGGACTGTGGTCAGTCCTGTGAACACGGAGGCTTTCTCCATTACTTCGGGTTATTGCGGGTATACCAAAAATTACACACGGGTCTTCACCGGGCGCAATACAACCTGCTTGTCAAAGGGTGGGGTCCTTTCTAAATCTAGCGGTAGATCCTCATTTAATTGTACGGCAGTTTGGGACTTTTATGGGTATGGGTTCACTTTCAAACAGGGGGTCAACGAGGTGCTATGGAATAACAAAACGGCTAAGGCGTTGCCCCCTGGAATCTTCTTGATCTGTG